GAACTCTACCCTGATGCTCAAGTCTGGCTTACAGGGCACTCGCTTGGTGGCGCCGTGACCTCGATGCTGGGTATGACATATGGTCTTCCCGTCGTTACATTTGAAGCCGTCCCAGAGGCGCTTCCAGCTTCCAGACTAGGTCTGCCCGTTCCTCCGGGTGCTAGCGTCGACTATCCCCAAATGCGTGAGAACACGGGCACGTTCCATTTTGGCCACACCGCAGACCCTGTCTATATCGGGACATGTAACGGCGCAACAGCTTCTTGCACTTATGGTGGCTATGCTATGGAAAGCACATGTCATGCTGGATATGAATGTGTGTACGACGTTGTCGCCGATAAGGGATGGAGGGTCGGAATTGGTACACATCGGATTCGTTCTGTCATTGACGATGTCATCAAGAAGTACGATGGTGTTCCCGAGTGCAGACGAACTCCTGAATGTAGGGACTGTGCTCAGTGGAAGATGTACGAAAGTAATGGCACTGAAACCACCACAACACCATCCTCACCAACCTCGACCTCCATGACTACCCGTACTCGGACCCGCACCTCAACTTGTGAGACGCCCGGCTGGTGGGGTTGTCTTGATAAGACCACCCCCGCCTCAACCACAACTTCGACCACTTCGACTTCTACGTCTACCTGCAAGACTCCTGGCTGGTTTGGATGCAAGGATAAGACGACTACCGAGAGCAGCACTACAACGACCGTGGATACTACTCCTACGACAACTTGTCATACTCCTGGAAGGTTCTGGGGTTGCCGCGATGAAGTTGAGGCCACAACAACAGCTGAACCTGGTCAGGTCACGAACGTGTCTGTTACGGCTACGCCCACAGATACAACGGAAAACGTTCCTAGCACGAGCGTGCCAGAAAGTCAGAGGTGTCTCACTCGTAACTGGCTTGGGCTATGCAAGGAGTGGGCTGTTGAAGACGTGGAATTTGCCCCAGATGAGATGTAGGAATCGGCATTGAGAGGTCCTATTGCAGCAGCAACGTCCAGACCATCTCTCGTATCTCGTACATCGATCGCTGGTCGAAGCAACATGCACCTTTGCCTGCCTGTTCCAGCAGCTTGATTTCTGTTTTTCTCTCTCGTACGCGTGCTTGGCTGCGATATAGAGGGGCCCGCTCAGCGGTTAGCCATGATATGTTTAGCGTTTTAGATACACTCATGCAGATCATGAGGATGGAGTCTTTGTTTTGTATACTGGAGGACACGGCGTTTGATTAGGTACGAATGACCGGGCTACAGATTTGAATACATGCGATCTACACATGAGACTCGCACATTTGGACGAATAAAGCAGGTTAAATATCAGAATAAATTGGATTATTAGATTATTCACAATTAATTGTTGTTCATCACCTCGCGATCATTGTGTCGGTGGAATGCACCTATCGTAGTACATCTTCTGTCGTGATGTCAGCAACGTACCTAAAAAAACCATTCCCAAGTCTAGGCGTGTCCCCACCAAAAAAACGCGTTCGTCAACCTTGCATCTTCTATCTTTAGCTTCAATCCCACCAGGCGAAGAGCCACGGCACAATACCGCTTCATTCTATCAACTTGGATATCGTTCAACATACGCAATGTGACATCTTTACGCTTACTCGTTCCGATAATAGATAACTCACAATGGAAACGGAATCCAAACCTTCCGATATGGGGACCCCCTTGTCTTCGACATTATCTAGCCTCAGCGACAGCGGCAGTGACGCTGAAGTTTCGAAGACTACTGGTCTCAACAACCACACCGATAGCCAGAAAAATGACGAAGACACTGTAGAATGGCTGGCTACAACTCGAAAACGCCGTTCCACCGCCGGCAATCGAATGAAGTCGATGCTCGCCAACGAGGAACCCGATTCAGATCTCGAACTACTCTTCGCCGAAGATGAGAACGACCAGGGCTTCTCCGATGCTGAAGAGAACGGTTCGGATGTCCAGATGGACTCTTCAGACGATGAAGACGAGAACGACAATAATGATGATGACCTCGAGGGCGAGAAGGAATTGGAAAAGCAGGCCAAGGAACGTCGCGCTGCTCAGCGCAAGCGAAAGGCGCAAGAAGCCATCCCTGCCAAATTCCGCAAGAAAGTCCGTATCGACCCTACGACGAGAACGCCTGCATCTGCGAAGCCCGCGCCACGACCTAAGAAGAAATCTGAGCGCACTTCATGGCTGCCGTCTGCCGCGGACCTACCGACACGAGCCTCTTCCCGCCAAACGACTCGACTCTCCAAGGAGCAACTGCATCAACAAATGGTGGAGCGAGAGGCGCGCCGGATAAAACAGCTAGCCCAAATGCAGAAGAAAGCTGCCAAGCTGGAGGCGATGAAGAAGCCACCCATGACCCAGGAGGAGCGATTACGAGAGGCAGCCATTGTCGAGAAGCGCAATAGCAAGAGTTTGAATCGCTGGGAGGAGGCTGAGAAACAGCGTGAGGAAGAACGTCGAGCGAAACTGGCGGCACTTCATAACAGAACGTTGAAGGGGCCTGTGGTTACATTTTGGAGTGGAATTGGTGAATGGATGGGAAGGCACATGGTGATCGAGGAGCCTGCCAAGGAGAAGCGGAAGAGAGGCGAGAAGGCAAAGGGTAAAGAGAAGGACAAGGAGAAAGAGAAGGAGAAAGCTGGTTCAATAGAGGACAAGAAGGAGGACGGTCAAAATGGCGAAATCGCAAACGCCAACGCCAAAGAAGGATTGCAACCTTCACAGGACAAACTACCAAGCACAGCGTCAGCAGAGCCTGCAGCACCCTCCGATTCCAAAGACACGAAGCCCGCTACTCCTACTAAACATGTTGAAGACATCACGAAACCCACAGATACACCTTCAACTTCAGAGACTAGTGGTGCTCCTCCAGCGGTTCCCAGGACCGAAGACATCGCTGCTCCGATGACTATGCCACCACCTCCTCAACCGCCCCCTACACCTCCGAGCAGTTTGGCTGCTCCAGCTCCTCCACCATCAACCCTCGTGCCAGCTCCAAGCCCTCCTCCATCCCAGGATCCTCCAGCATGTGGTCTCGCTGCACCGCCGCTGCCTCCTCCACCTACGCCCGTTGGGGCAACATTATCAACAACTTCCTTCGTGGCTCCTCCGTCAGGACTATCTCGCCCACCAGATTCTAAACCATCTGGCGTTCTAGCAGCGCCTATACTTGCTCCTCCCCCAGGTATTGGCATCAACCCTAATGCTCCTCCTATGATGGGCTACGGCAATCCCAAATCCAATGTCCTGGCACCACCAAATACGTCTCAAGGGGCCATGCCTCCTACACTCACTGCAACTGCAACTGCAACTGCAACTGCAACTGCTCCTCTTCATAACACTCCTCCGTCAACTATCTCACCCCCTCCATCACAAACTTCCACGGGAGTTGCGCCCATATCTTCTACAACAAATCTTCAACCCAAAACTATCACGCCCGCTCTCCCAACCAAGTCTACCAGTCCCGACACTCCCGTTGTAGCCCAAGCCCCTGACTCTCAAACTCAACCTCCTCAGCCCTCAACCGGAGCCCGCAATGCCATTGTCTTCCAAAACTTTGACGACAACGCCCTCAAGGATCGTAGCATTCAAACACAGATCATTTTTGGCCGCAAGATGAACAGGCTTTCCAGTAAGTTTACATGGATCTTCAATAAACGTCACCTTCTCTAACATTGGTCAGAACCTTCTCCTGCGCCTCTTTGCGTAATCACAAATCATCCCGCTCGGTATCGGGATCCGTGTACCGGCCTCCCTTATTACAATGCCTACGCGTATCGGGAGATCCAACGCCTCACCCGAGGCGAGTACCGATGGAGCCACATCCTTGGTGCTTGGGTCGGTAGCGGAACATATGCTGCACGGGGCGTCCCCGAACGCTTCCTGAACCCCAACAAGAAAGGGCCTGAAAAGAAATCGACGCCTGACGAGGGCATCAAGGGCAAAGATGCTGTCAAGGCCCCAGATCAAGCCCAGGACCCGCAAACAAAAACCCCTGATGTTCCGTCGGGTATCCCGACTACGGGGGACAAGTTGACTGGGGTCGAACAAGGGGCTTCCGCACCACCAAACTCTGAGCCTAGCCAGACGATACAACCCAAGATGGCGCCACCGGCAGTCACTCAGCCTACAAAGGCTACAAATGCAACGGCCGCAACACCAGAAGCGCCAAATATTGCTCCTGCTCCCGAGCCACAGGCTCAAGCTCCAACAAACCCTCAATCAACTACCGCAGGAAATCTCCCAGCACCACTTCAGGCAGCTCAATAGGATTTGAGGCGAGTTGCTTAGACCACTATTATAGTACTTTGACTAGATACCTTGGGTAGATACAGAGCTGTTGAATGGCAGGAATTGGCGTGATAACACAACAGCGACTACAATATGTCCCAATATTTATGAATAAAAAACGTGTTAACAGCACAAAAGCACGCCTGAGACTATTCACGGTTGGAAGCGTCAACGGAGGTGTGTAACTGGTAAAACCAGTGTTGTAGGTTGGTTATAATTGTGTCTTATCTCATCTATCAAGATTGTGCCACCTACCGATCGCTATGTCATCTACATACACATGCAGATGATAGCAGATCGGTCCATACCATAATCCTCGCCTTAGGTCCACAATTCGTGTCGCGATAACTGCCATGTTGTCCGTCTCATGAACCATACCACCCTTCCCTCACATAATCCTTTAGAATTCCACTGTTACACGGCCGTCTATCTCGATTCGCCCAGACCCTTTTCTTATTACCCCTCGGGGATTGTTGTACGTTTGACATCTCCTTAAGCTGCCTATGCTTGCGCCATCCCCTCTTGTTTCTTTTAAAACGCCAAATGCAAAACCCGCTGTGTTATGTTCATCAAATGTTGAACTCATTTTTTTGAAAACCAGTATTAAACGCCGTCAAAACAATGTTGATCATGGAGTACGGTAGGCGCTGAAGCCCAAAATTAAGTTGTATCGTATCAGATACTATGTGAGTATGTTGTAGTTGACTAGTTGGTCTTGGTGCCAATAACGTCAACCATCCAGCCCAGCTCGGCCGCAAAGTCGTCCAGGCCGGTATCGATAGGCGCACCGAGGAAGTTTCCGCTGTCGCCGCGAGAAAGAAGCGATGTAGAGTTGACCTTGGCATAGGCAGACTGGGACTCGACAATTTTCCGTCCTTGTTCCTGAGACTCCGGGAGACTGTAGCACTCGAAGGAGTCGGTAGTAGGGGCCATGCCAGGAACAGGCTGAAATGCGAGGATGTCACTGTTGCTACTTGATACAACGTCATCCTCATCATCGGTAAGATCAAAGAAGTTGTTTCCTTCATCTTCGGGAAAGTTTGGTGTGGCCGGCGACAAGAAGAAGCTCGTGGCAGGATTGATTCGAGGGCTAGGGGCCCGAAGAGTCTCCAGCCTAGGTCGTGAAGGAAGCACAGCCGATGCAGGCACACCGCTGACCTCTAATAAGTCCTTCCTAGATGGTCTTGAAGGAATCAGAGGCAGCGGCCTTGAATTAGCGGCATCGCTTCTGACTGACTCGGAGGAAGTAGTTCGCTTGAAGGGAGGAGGTGAGAGATGAGTGACGTAGGGCTGTCCATCAGATGCTGCTGAAGTCGCAAAGTTATCGTCGTCATCGTTCTCGTTTTCCTCCACAACATCTTCAGGGATGACTAGAGATGGTCTCTCACTGAGGTTAGAGCCAGGGCGGGGAGGAAGATCATCAGACAGGAAGCGTCGAAGAGATTCGGGTGAGATATCTCTTGTTCGAGTGCCTTCTGATGGCGTCGTGCAACGGTCGTCGATATCCTCGGCGGTATCAGACAAGTCATTGCGGATGGGAGATCGCCCACGCTCGCCTTCAGAATTCACCTTGCGACCGAACAAGCGCTTCCATGCCGCCGGGGCAGGCGATAATGATCGGGACGAAGACTTGTGATTTAAGGATGGAGATGAGCCAACCCGGTAGGGGATGTGGTTGGCTGGTACTGAAGGTGCAGGTCGAGGTGTGATGTACTTGGATTCGGGATTCATGGTTTTGAGATCGGTAGCACGCATAGAGGTAAGAGAAGCACTTCGCTGCCTGAGAGCCTGCTCGACAGGAACGATTAAAGTATTGACAGTTTGGCCAGGTAGGTATGGGCAAGCTGTGGTTGAAGGGAGGCTAAGGTCGTGTGTCTCGACCGAGCCATCTAGCTCATACTGGAAACCCATTGTTAATATAAATGAATGACTGGATTAAGTAATAAACAAGTAATGAATGAATGAATGAGTGAATAAAGAATTGAAATAAGTGAGAGAGGCGATGTTGATTAAATGTGTTTAGGTGGTTGGGTAAACGGGTGTTGATGTATGTAGTTGAGTTCACTAGTTTAAGGCAAGGGAGAGGAATGGGTTTGTTATGAGGTGATGTGCAATGCAATGCAATAAGATGGCATATACCGAAACGGATAGAACAACACACGTACATAGTAATAATAGGTATGACCCATCTTAAGACCACCATGCCTCTTGTTGGGATACGAAGGTGCTGTGCCAGTAGTACCTGAGCCTGAGCTTGAGCTTGTTCCAGCGCCTACGCCAGCGCACGTCGCAGAAGCCGAGACGGAAACGTCGTCACAGACAATGTCACGAAAAGAATAGCAACCTCTCCACTGATCACGGCCCCGCCGGATGTCTCGTTGCATGGGGTGAGATTGGCTGAAATTGTCCCACGACCCAATAAGCCGCACGGACTGTGTCGAAGGGGGAGCTTGACTGGGGGGTGCTTGTCAGCGGCCGTCGTTAAAAGCCATCGGGTGACGGCATGGAAGGGGAATAGAAGCAAAGAAAAAAGGGCAGGGAAATTGCACCAAGCTGCAGTGCGTTACAGCCAGCCACACGCCTTGAAGCCAAGGGGTAACAGCTGAGAAACAAACTGGTACGATAGGCTTGGTCCGTATGAAATGACAGAGCTGGCAATCGTGGGGAGACAAGGGAACCCTTGGATCGATCCCAAGGTAGCTGCAGATAGAGACTTCCATCTGTAATCAAACCCAGCTGTCTTCCCCATTTTGATGCATACAGCATATTAGCAGTACCAAGCACTGCAGCTAGAGGCTGGCTGAGAGGGCTTCGACGCTGACTTCAGCTCCGACTTTTTACGCCCTCAATACAAAAAAAAAGCGACTCAAACATTTTGTTTTTTTCCTAAACACGGCGTCCGTCTATGTCTTGAGGCACAGGCCGGGGGGGCTGGTCGGGGACGGAGCCAAATTCAGATGATTTTCATGCGAGGGTACAGAAATAAGACAATTGAAGCATACCACGGCAAATAAGACACTTCTAGGTAATGTGTACCGGTCCCGGGGTAGAGAATGGAATGACAGCGTTCGATAGTTGAAACACAAAGGGAATGCTGAGAGATGAAGCTGACGCAGTCGGAGAGAAAGTGGTCCAATTGCTGAAGAGAACGATTGTTGTAAAGAGGGATTGGATTGGATATAATGAACCGACTCAACGGTTCCGTAGAAGGCGATCCGCAGAAGTAGTGGATCAACAATCGACCAGCGAGAGGCGAAGTAAGGGAGCAAACAAGCAAACAAACGGAAGGAATATAATTAACAAAAGAAAGAAGAAATGGTCCGAACTCACAACAAGAAAGTGAAAAGAGTCGTTGATGGATCCATGACAGGCGACGGGTGACGGGCCTTTACTACAGTTAATATGTAGGCACCCGTTACCACAGGTCGCTGTGGGGATTAATGATGAGATTGGTACTAATCTGGGAAACCAGTCAAGATCCACGAAAGCGCCTATAGGCTTTGATGCCGGGGATTCGGACAGGTCGAGATTAAGCAATAACAGGAGGCTGATGAAACACCATGAGGTGTTCGTCGCATGTTCAGACAGGCGCGAAGTGGTGTTAGAGACTCTATACTGACTGTCAATGATTGGATGTGAGCCTCTCAAATTACAGCGAATTTAGTTGTAGGTGGTTGACAGCCAATGACCTGACGAGGAGCCCTGAAAGGTGACGGGCAGTAAGCGCCGCAATGGAGTCTTGGAACATGGAACCCCTAGACGACGACGAATGTTGACGTGTACCAAGAACTGGGTAAGTAAGGTACGGAATGCGGCACAGGACGGGCGCTTAAGCGCAGGGCGTCAAAGGCAGCGCAAAATGCCAAAGCGAGGCAAGACGAGGATACTCGGCTATGAGACGAAGCAATGCAACAGTCGGGCACAGCGAAGTACCGTATAACAAAGGCAGGGCAAGGCCGTAGACGAGGGAGCCAAGGGCGGCTAGTGAAGCTGCTTGCTTGCTTGCTTGTTTGCTTGCTTGCGACGCTCGAGTAAAAGTTGTGACCCAGGAGTGGTCGATGCTGCAAAGCAAAGGTGCGCGCGGACAGTTTGGAATACGGTCCCACTAACAAGAGGGTGAATAGTTGACGGTCTCTCGCTACCTAGTTTGCTTTTGGGTGGTCTCAGTCTCAGTCGCAGTCGCAGTCTTGGACGAGGAATGAATGGGGAAAGGTAGAAAAGGGAGACCAAAGATGCAGAATGTTAGATCGAAGAAGAAAAGAGGGTGAGACTTTTTGGATGGGGAGGAGGAGGAATATTGGATATGAGATTGCGGAAAGAGCGGGAGAGGACCCAATTCTGACCAAGATGGAGATGGGGAAATAATGCTCCTGCCTTTCTTCACATTAATTACCTTACCTGCTTAGGTGCCTACCTACCTAGTCGAAAAGCCAAAGGCCTCGCCAATCTAAGGCCAGCTCGGAATGGGAAATGCCACTGTCATTGGAGAAGACAGGTAATATTTCAGCCCGTGGCTGTCAAGTGACAGGTCTGGTTCAGCCCAGCTCAGCCAGGTTTGAATATTGGCCTTTCCAGTTGCGATATCGTTCCGGGTTTGCCAGTGAGACCAACCGAACCATGCACGAGGGCGTCAAGGGGTAGTATTGGCCTATTGGTCTGTTTGAGCATGCGCTATGGAATATTGCCTTGCTCCTTGAAGTTTCCAGCCTGTTGATCATCGCCAATGAATAGCACAGACCGCATGCGTCTCGTGAGGAAGGATCGGCATCGTCATGTCTCGGGTTGATGGTTGTTGATCAACAACTTACAGATAGACACAAGTAGACAAAGAAGAGGGGAGAGACATTTCTGTACATTGTACCACAATCAACAAAGACAAAGATTTCAGGGGAACAAGGGCGATCATCTACATCTACCTGCACGAGCACGGCATCACCAAAGACAAGGAACCCAAGTCTCTGGAACATTGGTCAGTCGTGATTGGTCCACTAGCCTTTCTCTGATCGAACCGAACCTGATCTCATTAACTTGAATAGGTTCTAGCTCTCAGCCTGAGACCTGGTGGGTCAGCTTGTGCCAGGGGTCTTTGTGGAGCTCAGCCAGGGTTCCGGGATCTCCTTAGCACGAAAGAAGGGCGTCATAAAAGATGGAGCATTTTATGTCTGCCAAAGTTCATAAGCTGCACGTATTATTCCTGACCATGAGCTTCACTAATTATCCTTGTCTTGGCAAATTCAAAAGGGGAGGGACGGGTGCTGTCAGGATTGGCCAGACACATCTGCAGTACAGCTCGGCAAGTTGCCAATAGTCTCTTGCAAGAGATCAGCTGGGTTGTGACATGATGAAGAAATCAAGTCAGGATAAATCACTCTTCGGACAGAATCAAGAAAATGCAGGCTCCAAAACCAATGCTACTCAGCTGTGAACCAGGGGGCGGGCAGAGAGAGAGGGTGAGCTCTATTCCCGACCTCCGGGCCTTGGGGAGCAAGAAAACATCAGGCCTTGAGATAGGGTGTCAGAATAAACTTAGCAGTGAGTCACCTAAACTTAGGCTATATTTTTCTAAGTATTTACATCCCTTATAGTCAAGGGCCTGGGTTTTCTTCCTCCCCTAGCGGGACACTAATACCTTGAGTGGAAATTCAGGGTCCTCTTAGCCACAGCCAGTGAAAACCTGTGGTCTGAAACTCGCCTGAGCTGTCTTGACTCTTGAGAAGCGAGCGTTTAGCGCTCAAAGCTCAAGGGAGAGACAAAAAGTCGGCGGGTTCTTGACGGAAAACAGGCCAGAACCGGAGAGAATGGGCCGCTTGCATCAATTGTCATAGGGAAAGACGAGACAGCAAGACGAGACAAAGCTGGTTGCGGCTTGCATTACAGTACCTATAAACCACATGATAGTTACATATCTGTCTCGAGCTGTCTATTGGTGTCTGTATCAACCACGTCAGTCATCACCGTTGACAACAGCCACAACATATCGTCAACGTTGGTAACGCCTTGTACGTGCATATGCACAATTAATTACACAACTGACAGACAGAATGCATGTTATCAACCCTATTTGCTTTTTTCTGTCTTATCTTTTGTCTTGTCTCGGATGCATCAAGCCTACATCCGCCCTGCAGCATTCATCATCCATCGTCCCCCCAACCGTATTCATTGTTTTCTTTTTTATCGGTAAATCACGTCACCAAGTTCTCACATCTGACTGAATGTTTGTTTCCAGGGAAGTCCCATCGCCAAGTCATGCCCTTTCTTGCTTTTCACCCCGATCTCTGCTTCATATCTCAGCCCCAATTTCAAGAGACCCGGTTTCTGGTGGAGGAATATCTCCCTCCCACCTCGAAGCTTCTCCCTGAACACGGATGTGGATACGTCAATAAGCCGAGAAAGAAAGCATTTACCGAGAAAATTGACAGTTCGTCGTGACGGGACACAAGCCAAGACGGAAAACAACAAAGGAGCTTCCCTGATTGTGGCTCCGGATGTTGTGAAATTGTCTCTTCCTTCCAAACAAATGGATACCTGTACAACCACGTACAGAATTTAAGGCCGAGACAATCATTCAATGTCTTTCCCGGGTTCGCAGGAACTCATCCCGTCCTGTCGTTGTGAAGCGTGTCACAAAAAGTCAGACACGTTCAATATCGTCATACCTAGGTATCCGATACCAGCTTCATCAACCGGTCCTATCGGTCCGGGATTTAACTTTAGTCCTAGATTCCAAATAAACCAAAAACGGCGCTTGATGATCTTCAATGTTTCTATATTATTCCCAGCCGCTGTTAGCACTTTAAATCTACTCTCGAGGCCGGAGGTTCTGTCATTCCCCCCGCGTAGAGAGCCTCCATCTGATCAAAGCGTTTGTTTCGTCGTTAAATAGAAACACCGTTGTTTGTTACAAGCTATTTCCCTAGCCTATACTTAATTTCCATCAAGATCATAGGACTTATTAAGACTGTCTTAGAGCTGAAGTGTGGAGTTCATTTCTGTAGGAGGAAATGATGCTCGTCACGAATTCTCATCACTCACAGTCCGCTGGCTCAACGTGTATTCTCACACGCCACATAACCTCAACTAATCTCGACAGATCACATATCACTTAACAGTGAGCAACGATTTGTCGTTCTCATCGTAACATGGAAAAGTTGGGTCTACGATACACGGCATACATATGGTTTATTTCTTCACAATATTGGAGACTCCTTTCTTCCGAATCAGGGATACTTCTATAGGGTAGGCGGACTGCTCACAATAAGATCGGGCTGGGTAGTCTCGATTTTGACAATTGCTGAGTGATGCATTAGACATTTACATTCATATGATCGCCGGCGCTAATACATGTGATGTCGGGAGGGTCCTCTTGCATTCATACGTCGAGATTCTAGCTGTGGCTCACACTCAATAGTATCTCTCAGATGCTAGATACTGAGGTCCCGCCGCCAATTCGTTGCCCAAACCATGAACGTTATGAATCAATGACCCATCTGCCATTATAACAATGGCTGTAAATACCGACGCTTTGTGCGCAAAAATATATAGATGGTCTCATTGATATCCTTCTAGCATTACCTGTAAGTTATAACCACGTAGGTAGACTCAGGGTGGCTCTACTAGTGGACAGGTATCGCGTTGGCATTCAAGAGTTATCGGGACGGGTTACAGAAAGAACTCTTAGTATTCTGCTCCTGGGGGCTATCCTGAGAACCAAACCGAGATTCAGCGTCGTACATCTGCCCAGATATTTATCTTCTCACTGGGTTTCTTCCTCCTTGCGGCCATACATACTCGTTCCCGATACACAGGAACAGGGACCCAAAGCCCATCATTTCACATACTAATTGTGCGCCGTTACTAAACCCAACTCTGTGTCTCATTCTTGACAATTATGGTACAAATCCAGATGCAAAGCAAAAAAGCTGGAAGACCCTCGTCTACCCAACACCGCCGTTCTCGGAAGGCCAGCCCTGCCACTGCACCACCAGACCCTTGGATTGCGGCGACGGGACTGGTGGCAGGGTAAGAATGAGAGTGTGTAAGAATAACGAAAGTAGTAAGAACGTATTAGGCCCAAGGAGTTGGTCCATCAGGCGCCTCATTAAAGCCATGAATTAAAGGTTGATAAAAATTACCGCAAGCTTCGAGCCGTAATGATAAGTGTTGATGTTGAAATTGCCGTCATGCCCAAACCGATCCAAAACCGTAACAAAAAGCGCCCCCCCCTGATAAGATTAAACAGCCATACCGCAATCCGGCGATTCCTCAAGAATACTGATGCTTGATTTTCTTGTTTTGTTGGGACTGTGCAATGTGCTCCTTATGCTGAAATCAAAAAGTTCATAGGCCAATGTCTCAAAAACAAAATCTACTGAGCCTTTGCCTCGACCTTGGCCTTCCTTTGGCTAGGCTTGTTGGTCTTGGAGCCCCTGTACTTGGTATCGAGAAGAGTGTCCCAGAAAGTGAAGAAAGGCTGAGCAAAGTTGGTCTTGATGCCCCAGTGTTGGTGGTGGATATCGTGATATTCAGCGTTATTGCTGGTCACGATCTGGAGAGGGTCCCAGGGAAATGCGTAGCCGCAGTGGTCATCGACTGTCTTGATTGTGGACATTGAGAAGAAGAGGATGCCCTGGCGCAAAGTCATGCGGGTGACCTTGAATGCGACGGCGGCGCCGAGAGTGTCGAGCAGGAATCCCTCAACAGGGTGGTTGTAGAGAGCACCGTAAGCGTAAGGGACGTAAAGACGATGGTGGCGAGAGTGGAAGTGAACTGTTGAATTGAGTTAGCGACCGTGACATTGAAATCAAGCAGTTTGTGGATGGAACTTACCATACAACCACTTGTTGACATGCATCAATCGGTGGAGGAAGTATTGCCAAGTATCGATGATAGCAGCACCAATAAAGTACTGAACAGCAGGGATCATGAAGTAGTAGATGGCCTTGGCCAATGTCATCTCCCAAGAGGCGAAAGCAGGCTCATTGTTCGCGCCCACCAGCGATGGGTAGTAACCGCCAGCAACAGCCCCGGCCAGCAGGGGGTGAGTGTCAAGGAGACTCTTGGAGATTGCTGTAGCATTGAGGCCGACGAGGCCGAGCACAGTTGGGAGAGCTCGCTGCGTGATACGGATGCGAGTAGCCCAGACTGCAACGTCATAGTCATTCTTTCCAATCATCTCCGGAGGCTCGGACAAGGCGAGAAGAGCGCCGGTGACGACCTGGATGATCTGCTGCAGGATAACATCGCGGGCGACCTCAAAGCGGGAGACGTGGTTGCGTTTGGTGATTTCTTCGGGCGTGTGTAGTCGATATTGGGGGAACCAGTCGTTGACGTCGATTGCATGGAATATCAGGGACAGGACCCAGTACACAACAACAGGGAGTAACAAATTGAGCCAAAAGTCGGAGACCCAAGGAAAGAGATCAGGCTGGACCTCTAGACTAAATGTTGGCAGCGGTGGTAAAGCTGTTTCGAAGAGCGTGTGATTGAATGAAGTGCCGGGCATGGCCATGGCGGAGCCGTCGGCGAGGATAGAGCTGTCGTTGCCCATGACAGGTTCAGAAATTAAGTTGCCAAGGTATCGATGCTGCGGTCGCGTTATAACGTTTTAGTTGGTGATGATGACGATGTGAAGGAGTGAAAGGAGACAATTCAGTTCCGTACGAGAGGCGAAACTGTTAGCGACAAAACGAAACAAACAATTAATAGAGCCTCGATCAACAAATGAAGGTAGAAAGAGTTGGAGGCTAGACCTGGAGGATACAAGAGATTTAAGAAAAGGGAGCGTCGATGTCGATTGCGATGGCAATGGCAAGTTAATAAAACCCGACGCCCAAGACAAATGGAGGCAAGGCAAGGCAAGGCAAGGCAAGGTAGGTACCTTGATTTGGGGGGCAGAAGATTAGATTAAGGCTCGTGTCGTCCAATCGCTCGCGCCGCTGGGTCACTTAAAGTGGCAACCCACCTCAGGTACACGCGAAAAAACAGTGATGATACAGTATCTGCAGACACGGAGGCAGCCCTGGGCCCGGGAGCTTCGGAGTGCAAAGTAGAATCAATCAGCGGACGGACTGTGCAACTTTGAAGAGGTCCAATTATTCCAAACCCACGCCAAGAGACTAATCAATCTCCTTTTTGTAGACGATACTTTACGAATGCGACATTCTCATGCGTTATTTCATGTACAAGTGTCTTTGCAGTTCTCACAATCGACATCTCCTGAAGAGCAATTCCGTGAGGTCGCATCATGGCCGGGAGTGGCGGATCAGCCCACGCGTTAACTTAGTAGACTGTCAATGACTTTGTCAAATCACATGTGCTCTGCGATATCTCTATTATTAAAGGGGCTTTGCATTCTGTCATTGCTCAATGAACTCAGAAAACGTACGAATATCTTACGCCTGTCCTCCCTGTCAATTCATGTTGGTACTCCATCGCCTGTTCATTCCTCTCAACACAGGGCAAGCCTTGCGAAGCCTCTCGTGGCTCATACCACTGAAACGTCACCAACAGGTCATATGTCTGCTGTCAACCTAAGGCAGAGTAGCTGCTTACAGCTCGTCTGAATATTTAGATTAACTGAACCGAGACGCAGATGGATCATGCCAGCCTAGCCAGCTCATCCGTCCCTTTCCCTGCCCATGACATCGCATGAAGCCGTTCGGTTCCAAATCCGCGTATTAAAAAATAAATCCGGGGCAAACGCGGAACCCCTGGCTGATCTTGTCAGGCGTTGAAGATCATAGGTCCCCTCGGACTCCGGGTGCTAAGCCTGATTTCGGCTCCTTGGGACTTGGGAAAAATACTCGGTATGGGACATACAATGCTGGTAATCGGCAGTATGTACATGCATTTTCCATGATGCGTGAGACGCAGCTCAGCATTGCCGTCCGCGGTGTAATTCTATTGGGCTAGAGCTGGCCTATTATATTACATTGTCGCGCGCAGAGTACTCAAAGTTCCATCGCTTCCACCACTCGTCAGCGTGTAGCCAGCCAGCTTGGTGGTCAGCTCAGTTAGGTAGGTAAGTATTTTTCACTACCTTATTAGGTAGCCATGGGATCGCTCAAAATGCCTACAATTCTTCCTTGCTTACAACTACACTGAAAAGTTTTTGTTTATCTTAGCTCAATAACCTCTCGCTAAGAAGCCCACAATGCTAAGATCTATGCTCTAATTTAGCATATTCCGCCTGTCATTTTAACTCTTCCTCCAAAACGTGATATTAGCAGAGAGACCGATTTGGTGCTTTCGAGTCCCACTCCATGATTTTGATTGGTTCGCAGGAATCGGCCACGGAAAAATTTTACGGCGTTGTTCAGTGAGCTTTTTCAGTTTGCGTGCCGCTAATGTACTCGAGCCCCACTACCCCGCCACTGGCTCTAGATTTTTATTATCATCAGGCTCTGTTTCTCCCTTTGGCTTTTGCTCCTCTTTGCCAGTCTCATCAGCTTCATTTTCTCCTCTTCTCCATCCTATCCCATCCTCAAAGGTCTAATCGACTCCAGCCGTCAAAATGCTTATCTACAAGGTACGACCATGAACAAACTCGTCTCATCGCCTTGAGCAGTACCCCGCCTACTCTTACCCCGCGCTCGATTCTTGTCTTGTTTTGTCTTATTCGCATGATCTGTCGCTGAACCCCGCAACAATAGGATATCCTCACCGGTGACGAGCTCATCTCCGACTCTTACGATCTCAAGGAGGTCGATGGCATCGTCTACGAGGCCGACTGTGCCATGATCGAGGAGGGTGGCGTTAACGTCGGTACGTGACGACCAGCATCAAAGCCTCAGGGCTGGTGTAAAACAAGGTTCAATTTTGCCCTAACACCATAATCCACAGATATCGGTGCCAACGCTTCCGCCGAGGAGGCTGCTGAGGACCTCGAGGACCAGGTCGTCAAGGTCAACAACATCGTCAGCTCTTTCCGTCTCCAGGAGACCTCTTTCGACAAGAAGAGCTACCTCACCTACCTTAAGGGTACATAAAAGCCATCCCATCGGGATCCACGATATCAGAAGTTAACACCAATTCCAGGTTACATGAAGGCTGTCAAGGCTGCTCTCCAGGAGAAGGGTGCCCCCGCCGAGGAGATCACTGCCTTCGAGAAGGGTGCCCAGAACTATGTCAAGAACGTCGTCCTTGCCAAGTTCAAGGACTTCGAGTTCCTTACTGGAGAGTCCATGAACCCAGACGGAATGTAAGCTTGCCCCTTATTACTGAGTCTTTTTTTTTTTAAGAGACTAATTATCTATAGGGTTGTCCTTCTCAACTACCGTGATGATGGTGTCACCCCCTACATCACCGTCTGGAAGCACGGTCTTACCGAGATGAAGGTCTAAGGTGGAGGTAGTGACGTGGTGATGTTTTTGGTCTGCCTTGTTTGTGACGACAGACGGACGAGCAGTTATTTAGATTACGAGCCACACGAATCTCGTTCTCGGCGCTTGGTATATCCCCGAGATATTGCGATGAGATGAACAAAAAAGAAAGAAGTCATGAGTTCCAACCAATTTGTATTTTTGACCCTTTTGTGCAGTGATGAAGGCGATTCTCGTTGCAAAGAAAGCAAGAAAGATCAAAAAACTCCCCTAGATGCGCGCCTGGCAATGCTGTGCGTCTAATACTGATTCTCGTAACTTAAAACTGTGGCCTAGTTGCCATAGGAATAGGAGGTGGTTCATCGTTGGCGGGAGTAGCTGAAGCGCTCATAAGAGCTGGCTTCTTCTTTGGCGGAGGTGGAGGAGGCTTCTTCTTTCCAACAACGCTGGCCAATCCGGGCGATGCTGGTGCAGAGGGAGCATCTTCATTTTGACTTTGTGTTTGGTTGCCTTGGAACCTAGAGTATGAATTCTGCGCCTTGTCAAGGAGTCCATACTTTTGGTTCAGGTTGTTTGCTGTTTTGGCTCCAGCAGCAACTTGTTCACCATGGCGCTGGCGGAAGTTGTTAGCTGTACTGGCAGCAGCTCGGGCATCGGAGAGGGAGACCGAAGAAGGATCCTTTTGGAATGATGAGGCAGTCTTGAGAGCGGCTTGCTTCTGAGCCCACGTGGTGCTCTCACTAGGTGGTGGAGGTGCTGCTGTGTTAGCGCTAGATGATGTTCCGAACTTCGAGAATCGGTTCTGCAGTTCGCTCATGTGTGATGCAGCAGGTGCTGGAGATGGTGACGCGACACCGGGTCGTGGAGGTTGAGGTGGACTAGAGGATGCTTCAGCTGCCGGGCTGGAACGACCAATACCAAAGCCAGGAACTGATATCCCTGCTGCACCCAGACGATTGACTGCTCCTTGATTCAACAGACCGTTGCCTGTAGGCGCGGGACTAGCAGCGGGAGAGCTCGCGATGGTGCTTCCAGAATTTGTCCTTGGAGGCAGTCGTGGTGGCAAGCTCGGAGGTGCAGCTCTTCCTCCTCCCCCTACACCCGCCATCGCCGACTGATATGAAGGCGGTTGGCCCGAACGTCCGTCAGCACCATCTCTGCGACCGGGAGGCTTCGGTAGGTTATCCGTTGAAAGACCTGTAGTATTTGTGCGATAAGGGCCACGGGGCTGTTCCTCATATTCCTCCTCAGGCTCGGCATACACGGGTTCTTGAGGGGGCGGTGCTCTCGGATCCTGGTATTTCGAAGGGGCGGTGATAACCTTTCTAGGTGCCGACTCTGCCTTTGGAGGTGGTGGAATAAGACCAGAACCGGTACGTTTGGGAGGTGGTGCAAAGCTTGAAGGGTCCTTTAGTTGGGACAGCGGAACAGAAACGTGACTACCTCGATCCTCCTCCTCAGACTTCCCTCTCCCAACTAGTCCTTTCTTTGAGTATGTCAGCCATTGATTTCAGTAGCAGATAAGAGAGAGGAGAGACTGCTTACAACTTGACCTTTCAAGCTGCTACCGGTCTTTTCAGGATGCCACCCATTTTTCACAATATCCTTGTATTTGGACATGGCCAAGACTTGTAGGTATCAGATTTTTATAGGAATGAAGGAGTAAGGTGAGGTTGGGATAGGCGATCCGCTGAAGGTTTACCTTAGTACATTACCCGCAGGCAGTTCCATTTGGGTTGGGCCCAAATCCACTGAGCACGAGAGAGTGACGTACAGTTCTGCCGAGCCACTGAAGATCCGTCAGTCAGTCAAGCCACAATGTATGTTCGCGGGGTAGGTAGCTAAGATTCAGGGCTGACGCCTTGCGATTTAGGTGTCAATTATTTGGACTCGACTTCTCATGATGGGATAGAGAGCCCATGAGTTTACAGCACATAATATCAATTGACATGTAGAAATATTACACAAGATTAGGTACTGCTTCAGTTCATTTGGTCTCTTCGACGGAGGACGAGATACTATTTTAGCTGGCAATTAATTACTGGCGCAGGAATTGAGCATTTCTTAGACGCGTCTCTTCCATTTACGCGTCTAATTGTCCATTAAACCAAAGCACTTCAACACTCCAAACTTTGTACACATAGCGACAAATCAAAATGACATCGCAACAAAACTCAGACTATGAACTCTTAACAGAGCATCTTGGTTACCCTCCAGTTGTAAGTTGGCACTGGTAGTATCACAATATCACACAATCAGCGCTAACGCCTCCAAGTCCCTCCTCGACGACATCATCAACACTGTCAATGTCCTCGCCGACCGTGCCCTCAACTCGGTCGAACAACTTCTTCTCTCCATTCCTCCTCAATCATTAGGCTTCTCCAATAAACACGCCCCGAAAGATGGAACACCGGCTCTACCGCCCGACGAGGCAGCCAAGCTAGAGATTGAACATGGCACACACCAGCTCGAGACTCTCCTCAACGCGTCCATCGATAAGAACTTTGATTTGTTCGAGCTATACACAATGCGCAATATCCTCACTGTGCGGCCAGACGATCAACCGTATATGCGTCTGGCGCACTACGAGGGCTTGGATTTCTCTGGGTCAGAAGGTCCCGATCGGCCAACGACAGAGTCTGTGACTGCGCTGCGGAGGAGATTGCATGCTAGCCAGCGACTGCACACAGCACTCGAGTCTGAGAGAGCCCGAAATGATGCGCTGCTTGGAAAATTGAGGTCTGTGCTAGGTGTTGTGCCTGGCAATGTAAAAGCGGAAGAAGGACAGGCTCAGGCGCCAGACGGTTCAGCCTTTGGCTTCTTGCGCGACAAGGCAAGTCTTCAGGCCGCTGGAGCTGACAAGCCCATCGCGACGACAACAGAATTCACCCTCTCACAATTACAAGCCCTCCGCGCTCTATCAACATCACTACGCACATTGCTTCCAGACCTTGGTCCCACGGACGCAGACACCTCGATGGAGGATGCCTCAAGTAGCTCACGTACATGGAGGCGTGAGCGTGTGGAATACGTCGAGGGTGCTTCGCGGAAATATCTCGAGACAGCTAGAGGTCTCGAACTGGGAGATCAGGGCGATGTACGTGATGGTGAGTGGCAGGGAGAAGGACGCAAAATTACGAGAAGCGATGTTGAGGGGCTAGAGCAACTGGCTGGTATGCTTGGGCAGAAGTCAACGACGGCAGACGAAGCTTCTGGAGAAGGAGAAGCAATGGATCAGTCATAGGTTGAGAACTGCATATTTGATGTGTCAAGTTGAGTTGAATAATTTTTTGAAAGGCGTTGGGCCAACGAAGAAAAAGGTCTGTATCATAATATTGGCGAGGGAAACTTTTGTCATGCAATATACAAAACGGATGCCTCAAGGCATGGTCAACACAGCGTCTACCCTAGCGAGGTATATACCTCTAGTACACGTCTAACCCTTGAATGGTGGTACAATTCTCCCATTCCATCATCCCTCCTTGTTTTCTCTATGAACGCGCATACTGCCTCAACTTCTGGCTGTCTATCAAACCATTATGCTGAGCCAGATACCAGAAATGATGTCTCCAGTATCTCTCATTCGCACTCTTGCTCTCTCTATCATGAAGCTTATACTTGAGAACAACATCCACGACTCTCTTAGCCGACTCCGTGTCTCCATTTTCGAGAAGGGCTTGCATCAGTTCTTTGAGACACGAGAGCGATGTGACAGGTCGACCAGCATTGGCGAGATCATCAAAGATAGACATGGCTTCTCGAACATCACCACCGATGGCGTGGGCGGTCATGACTCGCTCCCACAGAGTCTGGTCGCCAGAGGACACCTTTGTCAGATTGTTGTCCTTGAGCAGAGTGCGGATCTTGTTGATATCAGGAGGATCATGACGAATAGCGCGCTCTACCAGAATAGTAATCATGTGAGGTGTCAAAACAGAACCGAAGCCGTTGCTGCGCATATGTTGCTGCAAGGCAGCAATAACATCGTCGGAGCAGTTGGGAAGACCATCAAGAGCGTAAAGCATCTTGCCATATGTCTCGAGATTAGGCTTGAGTTCAGCTTGTTCAATATGGCTGAAGACTTCTTTGATAGCAACAACTTGCTCCTCAGCACTGGCATCTTCCATCCGCCCAATAACAGACTCGAGTAGAATGGTAAAGGTAGCAGAGTCAGGCTCGATGCCCTCCTTCTGCATGGACTGTAAGAGTTCCCCAATGTTCTTGTGATAGCCCATGCGAATCGTCTCGCGGATGAGAATATTGTAGGTGCGAGTATTTGGGGCAAGACCCTGTCTTCCAGCCCACGCCAACAAATCGTGTGCGGCCTTGGGGTCTGCATTTAACAGACTCTTGAAGGCAGCATTGACGGCTTCGATAGTAGGCTCAACAGCTTGAGACTGTTTTCCTTGCTTGACTGCATGTTGCCAGTTTTCTACCATCTCCGCGAGTGCCTGTAGACCCTTCTGATGCTGACCAAGCTCGATAAGCGCCGACACACGCTCGGTCCAGATAACAGCGTCGAGCTTTATGCCAGACTTGACAAGTTGACCCCATAATGCCTCGATCTTGCCAATATCCTTGCACATCTTCCATCCGTGCATCATGCTTGTATAAGTTCTGACTGTTGGCTCGACACCAAGCGAGCGCATTAGCTCTAGAGTCTCCTGCACTCTTGGATGACGACGAACTGCACACCACACAAAGATCCAAAAATCGAGGAATTCACGATCATGAGCTAGCTGGGGTTTGATATCCGGGTTGTCGCGCAAGGCCTCTAACATGGCGTCCCAGACGAATCCAATGGCGCTTTTGTTGCGTGCCCTATAAGCTAATCGTAGTTGCTTGTGAAAGTGGCTGAGCTCGTTTCTCGCCCCCGGATATGCACCCTGAGATGAGGCTCTCACCCAGGCGTGAGATTCACGCATGATCATATCTGATGCAAGAGCCCATTGTCGCGTGACATACTCCTTGAGTGTGGTCAGCTTCTCGGGAGAAATCTTTGAGGATTTTGACACGATAGTATCGATATCAGCCTGTTTGATTTTGTGCTTGGATATCACCGCTCGGACAAGTACTAGTAAAGGCGACAACTCCGACTTGTAGTCAGAGCTAGAATATCTGTTATCTGAAGTGATAGCGAGTGTAGCCAGTAGTGAAGGGATGACTTCAATGGATTGCGGCGGTGGTAGCTGAAGGAACAAAGAGGCTAACGCTCGAGATGCCTGTGTCCCTGCTTGTGCTGGGGCGCCACCGCTGCTATACTCTATATCCTTCAACACCTCCGTGATGCTGGGTAGTGCGAAGCGTGCCTCCTTATTGGCTTCACTAGGTCGCTTGAGCTGAGAGATATGCTGCCACATTTTGATGATCTCCACCCTCATTGCGGTGCGGTCATTGGACGCGTTCTTATGTTGTAAGAACTTAGCACACATGTTGAGAATGAGATCGTTTCGTAGGCGGAGGCTATAGTCCCCAAATGCCCGGTACTTCTCAGCTATATCGTGACTATTCTTGTATAGACCATTTTGAAGCATGTGATGACACTCAGTGCCGAGTAGTTGGGTTACAGCTGTGTAGATATGCTTGGGGATCTGGCCTTCAAGTCCGACGATACTCGGCCAGATCTCGTCGCGGAAGATGTTATAGCGCTCATCGGGGCTGAAACCTCTAGACATGACTTCCTTGAGTCTTGCGCTGATTTCAAGCTCAGTGAGTACAGGCATAGGCCCACTGACAGCCTCGGTGCTTGGGGTAGCTTCATGATCGGCGCGGCTCACGATTTCTTTGAAAAGAGCCAATGCCGGGTCCTGGTCTGATTTCTGTTTATACCTGAACGCATTGGCTCCTATTCTTGGTCCATTGTGGGAATATTTTGACTCTCTGCTGGTGTTGGCTGAGTGTGAAGCTGTCCTTGTCCTGGTCCTGGGTGTATCAGGGATGTCAGCTGTGGTTGAATACGCAGCTGCAGCCCCAAGCCTCTTGGCTGAGGCTGGAACCGATCGCAACTGCGATGAGCATCTTGAACAGGCTGTCCGAGATGCGTACATGGCGTAAAGGCCCGGGGGTTTTTTGGCGGGTGCAGTTGCAATATGTAACTCAGTAGAGGGCCACTTAGTAAGGTACGTAGGTATTTTCATCAAGTTGATGGGCCGAAGGTGAGGAGCCAATCAAGTGCGTTTTTGCATCCCACCTCGGTAAATTCGGTGTGGCCTGTACCGGGTAGTCTAAGTCGCTACCAAACGAGTTATTCGCCAGTAGGTAGGTAGGTAGTTAAGGATATTTATTGCTTACTGTCTACCTATCTATGTCGCTTCTGGGATCAAAATATCATCTTCATTTAGGTATACATACTTGTTATCTAATAAATCAATACCTCGTTTCTATCCAGTTGCTTCAAACTTATTGTCCCGGTCGAAGAGTAGCAGAAAACTCTCCATCAATCTCAATAATCTTCTCTACACTCTTCTTATAGCCCTCTTCATTCTCAATCAAGTCAATATACTCGGCCAATTTTGGGAACTCTGACTTCCAAGAGCCATTCTCAAAGCTTCCGAACTCGTCAAGATCTTCCTTGGCAGCAATCAATGGGAAGCTCAAGAGAATATCCGCAGCAGTGAGTT